CGAGACCACCCCCACGACCTGAGCAGCGGGGTTTAGAAAAATAAACAAACCCCAGAGGAGCAGATTCGTTTAGCTGAGAAAAGTCATCAGGTTGTTGCCAGGTTTCAGTTAAGCAGAAAAAGTCAAACTTACGGTCAGATAGGAGGTCTTGGATGAGAGGTCCCTTACTTGTCAATGAACGAATGTTTAGAAGACTGAAGTTGAGTGGAGTATCTTCTTTTTTGCTAATCGCGGTGGGCGCACTGGGCAGGTGGGCTAGAGATCGATGGTTGACAGCCCGATCAGGGTTCCTGCGAGGGCGGCGAGTAGCAGACCAGAACGATTTAGTTCCATTGGAGTTATGGAAAATCCTGCGGGACCCGCGATGGATGTATCTCCGGCGAGGCTGGAAAGTCGAACTCCGCCGGCGACGGGAGCGATAGCTGCCCACGAAGGCGCAGGAGCTCAGTGGCTGTATAGCGGAGCAGTCCAGCCGTAGGATGGTAGACGAGCGTTAGGAGAATCCAAAATAGTGTCGACCAGCTCAGGAACATCTTGGTCCACAGCTTCGATTATGTGGAGGAAAAGGAGCCGAGCCGGCCGGAGCAACGAACAGGTAGGCAAAAATAGCTCAAACAGTTAAGCTAATGCAGCTCACTGAGAAGAAGACGTGAGAACACATTCAGCTGAAATAACAGAAGTTGAGGACAAGCGTTGCAAATCAATCCCTGGCAGAGATCGATCTGGTCCTGAGTAAAAATGTTCCTGTTCATTCAAATCTGAATCCAAATAATCCAATAAATCCAAATAATCAAAAAATGTACCGGTGAGCCAGACGCGCCAGCGTTCACTCAAGCTGGAAATAAAAATCAAAGTTAATGTGAGGGTTCCTGAAGGTTAGGGACAAAGGCAATCGCATGTCGGGATGATGTAAACGGATCAAACTTCAGTGAGGAGAACAACTGCAATATAATGTAGTCATTAATATACTGCTGCATGGGCTGGCTGTATTTTAAAAGTTTTAAAAACTGAGCTTTCAAATGAATAGTGATGAGGAAAACCGAGAGAGGCCTACAGTGATCACTGCCTTTTTTAGGGGCTTGTTCAGATTAAATAGAACAAAAACATTAAAACATATAAAAACACAACAGCCTTAATAAATGCAGAGTAGTTTGGACCTGGAAGCAGGGTTCATCATGTTATCAAATAAAGATTGGATATCCCACCTGCTGTGAATGTTTTAATGCAGTACAGTTGTTATTATTATCACTTGTCACATCCTGTTTATGACAGTTACAATAAAGAACATTCATATAAGAAATAAAATTGTCTTGTGTAAACTGTATGTGGTGTTAAATAGGCCTATACTACTGTACTTTAATGTCAGTCATAAGGGTGGGACTTCAAGAGCCATATATTTTATGAGGTGGTACTTATTGTGAAAAGTTTGAGAAACACTGTTCTAGGGGATCCTGTGAACGAAGACTAAGACTAATATTTTGCTTTCAGTGTGAGTCCAGAAGAGCTAAACAACAGTGTAGAAGTTCCCCACAACAGGTTGCTTCCCTATTTTTCAGGTTTAAAATCAGTTTTTCTGCCCAGATGCAATGACATGTTCAGGTGGCCAAAGGAACAGTGAACAGTAGCATTTAGTGTGTGAATGTGTGTGTGAATGGGTGGATGACTGGGTGTGTAAAGCGCTTTGGGGTCCCTAGGGGGGACTAGTAAAAGCGCTATACAAATACAGGCCATTTACCATTTAGTACTATGCTGAATCTCCTCATACCCGTGTGCTGATGTGTGTGCACTGCTCTGCTATTAAGACTGAACTTGAGAAGCTCATGCAACCTAATAAATCTTGAACAGTACTTTTACTGAAACCCAATTAGGAGAGAAGACGCCAAAGTTGATGGAGGTTCTAGACATATTGTAAAAGTGATGAAAATGAGGAAAAACTGGATTTGTTTACAATTAATCCAAGGGTATTTATTTTATGTTCCTTTCAGCATGGACAGCTTTTATTGGAACACCTGTATGAATTAGTAGCACCAGCTTTCAAGGCTTGATCAACCTCCATTGCTGCAGAACAGCTTTAAACTGTTAACCCATTTTGTGTTTCCTGGAAAAGGCCTTTTTGCATAATTCTGAAGTTTACATTATTTTCAGTTTTGGGTAACCTTATCTTTTTTTTTTTAACATCAAGCAGTTCACCACTTACCTTTGTACCATTTCAAGCTATATATTGGACTTGAACTGCAAAAAATATAAATGGAAAAATTGGGGTGTTCTAAAACTGTTGACCGGTAGTGTAATTTTTTTACTTTTCCTAAATTAGAATTAGAATTATATGATATTTTATTGCAGCTTTATAAATAGCACTAAAAACGAAAGGTATTTATAAAGTGCAAAAAATAAATGTTGGTGGTTTTATACTGAAATCATTCCACCTTGAGTATTTTTTTCTCCTAGGGTGTGCTCTAATACTTCTGTCATAACATGCTTTCATTGCTTCATGCTCTTTAAGTTTAGAAAGCTGCAGTGGCACTTACTTTAGAGCTATTTTATTAAACGTGTTTGTCAAAAAAATATAAGAAACATTAGCCTGTAGTAGTTAATAAGAAGACACTCTGGCTTCACAATCACATAATTTCTGCATGGGCGAAGATTTCGAATAAACCTTAAAAACAAATTAGCATATAAATGTTCATCTAACCACCTGTGGTTTGGATGGTGCTTTTGACCTTTTTTAACGTTAGCTCATTAGATGATTGTTATTTGTCATATTATGTTACAATATGATTTGAAGAGTTAAATCACAGCACCCTGTATTTATGAGCTTGATTGTTTTGTGTAGTTCAATTAGTTATTATTTGAAATTGCCTGGGTCAGTCCGATGTAAACACAGTGTAAATTCCTGAGGCTGTCCAGGAACGGTGTTCATGATCCAGTTGATCGTTTACAGAAAGCATGACTTGCATCTCACTGTTTACTTTCTGCGGCATCAATATTATGCAATCTTTGGAAACGGACTTCACAGTGGAACTTTCCCAGAGCACACCCTCCCCTCCAGGTGTACATGACGTGTTTGATTTCTGTAGTACTGACATCCTGAAAAAGATTTGACAGGCCCTGCTCAGATCTTTAATTTCTCTTTTTATCTCCTTTTAATTAAATGGCACCAATTCTACCTGCAGTCCTGATTCAATATGTTAAACATGAGAATCTATTGCTAGAAGGCAGGCACAGCAGGCAGGTACAATATCTGAAAAAGGGGATCCTCGTTGGTTGAATAGGTCCCAACAGGCAGAACAAGGCGATCCTATCTGATGAGGTGGTTAGTTTGTGTCAGCATTATAGTTATGGCCTGTTGTCAGCAATAAAAGGGTTGAAACCCTGCCCATAAAAAAGAATACATAAATTTCTTGCATATGTATAGATGTGATTGTTTGAAGTAATAACTCACAATAAGGAAATAAAAACAGGGGTAAGACCCATGCTTGAAACAGGCTTAAAGACATCAATCAGTGCTGTTTATTTTAACAGTTTAGTAGTTCTTTCAAAACAGTGGCTTCCTAGAAAAAAACAAACACAACACTTAGGCTGATGCTGCCTTTCATGTGCAATCAGGTCAATTTGTGAAACATATTCTATCTATGTCGCATATGATGTTTTTACTGTTTTTGAAATTCCTGAAGCCAAATCTGTTACACCCATGGTCCAGAAGTTGGGTCATCAAAAAATTAAATTCATTATTAAGCTCAAAACCCGTTCTATTACGCGACAGTGTTCTAGTGTTTGGGAAAATCCGTTCCAACAATCGAACATGAACGTTGCACTAGTGTGAAGAAATGGACCCGGATACGCATGCGCAGTGGTTATGTTTGCGTTCCTCCTCCCTCCTCTGAGACTGACAGCCCGTTAGCTGCTGCTGCTGCTCACCGGCAATGAGACAGCAAACACGGACGTGATACGACAACCTGAGATGGACTTAACGAGTACTTTTTACCACTACAAAGACGGATATTATTTAACACCGTCGTTCATTAAGAGCAGAAGGTGTCTCTGACTCATTTTTTGGTCTCTGAGGTGTAAAACGAGACTCGACGTCCGGGAGAAGGAATGGATGCGACGGCTGATTTCCTGCGACACGCACCGGCCAGCTAAGAGGCTTGCAGATTCGCGTTGAGGAGCGGTTGAGTGCAGCTGAATTTGCTCACGGTTTGCCTTATTTCTCCGTTCTTAAAGTGGCAGCAATATCCTCAAAAATACAGTCGTAATCGGGAGGGTGAAAGGATACACGAAGTTCCAGAGGAGCGTATCTAATCGACCCAGCGCAGCTTTAGCTAGCCAGCGGCTACCTGGATTTCGCATTCTGTTGATTTATTTTGTAATCGATTATAGTGTTGTTTTTATTGTCATGCAGCTTAGCTCCTGCAGAGTTAGGAAGAGGAACACCGCCTGCAAGCTTGGGTTTTAGCCTGACTGCAGCTGGGAGCGTTTGGCTTGTGTGTGTGTGTGTGTGTGTGTGTATATGTGTTTGTTTGTTTTTCAAGGCACGTTAATCACGTGACTTTTCACTTATGGCTCGCTATTTGCGCTAGCTAGTAGGCAGCGCAGCTTTTTGGCCTCGAGAAACTCTTTCAGCATAAAAAATGCACCACCAAGACTTCCCCGGAGACCTGTCCGGGACCGGGAGCCGGAAAACCGCTTACCACTACAGGAGAGGCAGCAGCGGGGCGCCCCCAGCCTCCTCCGCTGCCGGTGTCAGCGCAGTGGACGACAATCCAACCCAGGTTGGATCCTCCTCTCCTGGACTCCACCATCAGCCTCAGTCCCAAGTGGCTGGAGCTCAGGTGAAGAAGAAAAGCGGCTTCCAGATCACAAGTGTCACTTCTGCTCAGATAAACGTTAGCGGCAACAACAGCTTGGCAGATGATACTGAGAGCTACGACGACATGGATGAGTCCCACACTGAGGACCTGTCCTCCTCTGACATGCTAGATGTGTCCGTGTCAAAGGCCACGGATACGGGTGTGCCGGAGAGGAGCTCCTCTGATGAGACTTTGAACAGCCTCCATGGAGTCGACACACCTGGACTGGTGTCACCCAATGAGCCTCTCCAGCCTCATTCTATCCCACAGGGGTCTCAGCATCACCCCTCTATGGTAAACGGGACTGTGCATCATCAGTACTACCCTCAGCAGCACAGCCAGGCCCACCATCATCACTCTGACAGCTTAGGAGGAGGTGAAGCATCACTGCCAACACTTCCCATTGCTCCTTTGGCAAGCTCCAGCCCATCTATAGCTTCCAAAGTTGGTCTTAACCAGCCTCAGAGGCCACCAGCAGTGTTTGATAACACTAAAACTGCAGGGGGGGCAAGCCAGCCTGCAGCCTCTGTTGTTGGTGGGGCAGCCACTGATCCACTTGTACAAGGCAGTGTGAACATTTCTACTGTGTCGGCTGTTGCTGCTGCTCCAGGTTTTGATAACACTAACATGGGTGGGCAGGTGGCTCCTGTTGGTGGAGGAACTGGTCCATCTGCTGCTACTGCTCCTCCTCCCAGCACTCAGACTCACCACACCCAAACTCAGACAGCCACCGGCTCTCGCTTCAGGGTGGTCAAACTAGACACAAACTCGGAGCCGTTCCGCAAAGGGAGATGGACTTGCACAGAGTATTACGAAAAGGAGGTTCCTCATCCTCCTATGGCGGAGGCAGCAAAAGGTGCAGAGGTGGTTGCAGACCCTGAAGCAGGTAATGCTGGGATCAGTCCAGGTGTAGCTGCCGTACAGCTCCCTCACACCGTGCAGCCCTATCAGCCACCAAGCCAGGACTTCACTAGTCCACAAGCCATGCAGAGTCCACTGCTGGGACTGGGACTGGCACAAACCACACCTGTAACCTATGTTTCACCTCAGGAGGTTGTTGTAGGGAAGCCAGCGGTTCCTGTCAGTATCCCTCCTGCATCACCACAGGTGACACCACAGACTGGTGTAAGCCAGCCTCCACTAGTAAAACCCCAGCAGCCCTATTCTGTGGATCCTCTACAGCCTCAGCCACAGGGAGGGTATCCTGCACCTCAGCTCCAAACGGGGGTCAGACAACCAGACTTTATTCAGCCCACCGCACCTTTCCAGACACAAGTCCAACCTCCACTGCCGCATGCCACGGCTATAGTCTCTGTGACGCCACTGTCAGGGGTCACGGTGCAGCAGCCCATAAGCATTACCCAGCAGCTGCCCCATCATGGTCAGGTTGCCCCATCTGCTACAGCAACCATTGCCGCAGGACAGCCCCAGACCCTCCCAGCTCCACCTCAACCCCAGATTCGTCCACAGCCACAAACCCAACCCCATTCTGCTGGCACCATCACCATAGCACCCACCCACGGGACCCCCTACATGCCTCTGACTGCGCTGCAAGCTGATCTTCAGCCCATCCTCACGCCAGGCACAACCTTCACCCATGTTCCTGCCATAACAGCGTCCCAGCTGGAGGACGCCCAGAAGCTTCTGCTCCAGCACCAAGGTCTGCTCGGGCTGCCCAGGCTGGGGGCTGCAGCAGGTGGAGACGGCGTCGCAGAAGCTGGCAGTGCTGCTGGAACTCTGGCCCACATGGGGATGTCCGCTGAGGCCAGTGCCTTCATGGTGGCTGCAGGCCTGAGAACTCATCATGGTGAAGGAGAGGAGGACAGGTGAGGATGAATGGCTTGTGCTACCTAAACTGTTTGATTCTAATGTAAACTGTGAAGGTCTTTAATTAAACAAAAAGCTATTCTTGGTACATTGTAGGCAAAGCTGAGGTACAAACAAAATAAGTCTTTCCCATTCCTGTAATTTCTTTCCCCCCCCACATCAGTGGTACACACTCTGGTCTTGTTGTTTAAATCAGAACTAGAAGTTCAGTGTCACATGTGCTTGATCCTGTGTCCCTTGAGGTGGTCCCCCTGACAGCTATCAACACACCAGACATCAGAAAAAAAAAGCCGACTGGACACTGCTGCTGTAAAACATCAGTGGCTGCGGAGCTGCTGACTCACTGAGGTGCTTGTGACTCAGCAGATGCTGTAGCCTGTTCATCCCCCCACCCCCCATTTCTATCCATCTACTGGACACTTGTCCAGTTTTTTAGTCTGAGTTTCCTTTCCCTTCACTCTCCCCTTAGATTTCATCTTTTGTTAGACACCAGCTCTGTTGATATGTGCCATGATATGGAGAACTGTGCAGCAGTTTATTTATATGCACACATACCAAATGCTCATTTTCTAGAGTTAGTAGTTTCTAAAAAAAAAAAAAAAAGCAAGCTTTGTTTAAATTTAGTTGCTTCGGGGGGGACTTGACCCATTTGCGTAAAGTTGTGTTGCATAAATCTAAAAACTGTGGCGACAGAGAGAAACAGAATAGTGTCATGGAAGCATTCTCCTGTTACCATAGTGCTGCCCTGTGAGCTGGTTAAGCAGGAGATCCATGTTGTGAGTACCGTTAACCCCCCCTCCCCAGAGTGTAGAGGGCATTTGATGAACTGCCACCAGGCTCCACTGAAGACCACTAGGAGAAAAGGACAACATATTCTGTGGATGTTGTGGTGTTTTTGTAACCAACTGTTGGCAACAAATAGACTTTTTTTTTTTTTTGCTTCCAAATTGTTAGCAGCAAAAGAGAGAATATTTAAAGCTGAATTCAGTTATCACGTCATGATTTCAGTTGTCTTCTTGGCGTTCGAGTTTAAGAAACAGAGAAACAAATGATTGCTGGCTTAATGTTGACGTAATCTCAGTAACGCTGAGCCACAGACAGAGCAGGACAGTGTTCGCTTATGGAGGCTTTTGTCAGCAGTTCGTGGCACCCCATCAAGGCCGTGTGCAAGTGCGTTTCTGTCTGTCAGTCAGCTTCTTTTCTTGCCATGAATCAGCCACTGTCCTGCAGCAGCAGACTGTCTTGCTGTGTGTGTGTATCATCTTTGTTTATAGTCATTGTCCTGTCATGCTGCGATCAGGCTGTGTGTTTCTGTTACTGTCACAGCTTTCGTTCCACCCCCTCTGTCACAGTCTCTTTTCTTCCTGTTTCCTTTCTTTGTGAAAGCGTCTGAGGTGATCTCTCTTCTCTTAGACACCAGGGCTTTTGTCTTTCCAATCCTAAGATGCTCCTTTCTTCTCTACAGGTTGTGACCTTAATGATGACTAACATTTGTACACATCCAGTTGTAGGTGTAGCTTTTCACGAAAAATAGGGTGGAAATTGTTGTCTGTGGCTGTTGGCTTATTGGAAACATGTCAGTGGGTATCGCTGAGGAAAAATAATTTCCAAAGAGTTTCAGAGGTCTCTTTCCACTTCCACCTCTGAATCGACACTAACTCATTATCCTGGGTGATCGGTTTCCTGTTGAGCCCAATCAGCCCTGTTCACACTCAATATTGTTGCTTCTGTATGTCAGAGTCCAGATTGAGTCTTTAAAAGCCGTCACGTTGCAGCTGTCAGGAGGTCGAAAACGCTTGATCTAGCACAGCTGCGGACACGGACACTGCCATGTTCTGAAACAAAGACGCAAGGGTGTGTCTGCAAAGGATCCTGCTCTCGTTTTTTTTTTTTTATATCTGCCCCTGTGATGTTAATTAGTAATATCACAGCAAGACCAGGGTCCTCCTCCCTAGGGCAGAATATCAGCTTGCTGTAATTGGACTTTGGGATATCAGAGTAGAAGGAAAACACTCATGACCTCACACAAACACACTTCTAGGTGACCGTGCACTTGCCGTCTGTGTCCTCCACACACGTTTCTCCATTTCTGTCAACAACACTGTGTAGAAGTGCGAATCTGCAGAGAAAGTGACTATAGGAGTAGCCTCCTTTTCAACCTCTGCAGGTAGTTTCAACTCAGAGTGTACATGGTCTCCTGTGCAAATTTATTCCTTTTACTTCCTTTATGTATGATGCCGTTATGTAAATATCTGTCATGTGCTCTTTTAGACTTTCAGCTGACTGAATGTCAAAGTTACCTGAGCTTTCGGTTTGCTTGCAGCACATTTTGCATGGATATTTACCCATATGACTTCATCCTCAGCTGTAAAAGCTAGAGGTGTGATCTAGTGATTTATGGCCTGTAAACTTTTTACACAGCTTCTTTTTTCAGCTTTAGATTAGCAGCATTGTGTCTCATCTTGAAGCTTTCTTCTGTGTTTTACAACCCTTTTCAATGAAGTCCACATCCTTGGCAGCAGTTAAAACATTTGTTCATTGTTGGATTAATTCCACTATTATTATTATTGATCATTTTTAAGAGTCTTCATCTGATCTGATTCATGAGCATCAGAGTTTAGCTCTTCCTTCCTGTTTAAATGACTCCCTTTTAGATATTTTAGCAGAAAAGGGCCATATGAATTTGAGATGTTCGGCTTCTTAAAACCTCTTCAGGTCATAGAGATAATAAGCCACCTGTCAAGCTGTATTTGTAGTTATACTGGCTCGGCCTCATGATTAATGTTTGCTAATATTGGCACACCTGCTTTTAACTGACTTGTCATTCATAGCTAAGCTTTGACAAAGCAGAGGAAGTCCCCGATGGCTAAGATTAAACTTGACTGTAGCTGGCATCAAAGAGAAGTTGCTCTGGGTGCCCTTTTATTTCAGGGAAATCCAGCTGAGCACTCCCACAGTTACCAGGAGAAGGTCCAACAAGTCCAAAGCAAGTAATATGATGCTTTAAAAAAAAAATTACCTGGGAAAAGCAAATGTTACCAAAAAACCTCATACTGTTCTGTTAATGGCAATGGTATTAAGCTTTAAAACAGTCATAGTGCAGCACACATTTTTGCACCATGACTACTACAAACAAGCTGAGACAACAAATTAAAGAGTAAAATAGAAACTCATGCCTGACAGCATCAGACTCTCAGGTGTCCAGGAATGTTTTATTCTATTTTTGCATCTGGGTGTTGGATTTAAAGCTTTCAGTAATACTAGTTCCTAAATGAAACCTTTTGAGGTCTTGTTTTTTCCACGTAGAGCCTTTAGGGTGTTCAGTAGCATTTATGGTTTCATGCCAGTTGTACCTGTTGGAGCAGTGTGCTCAAGGTGAGTGACTTTTCCATTTCTTTCTTTTTTTTTTTTTTTTGTGGTTAAGGCAAACCGACAGACACACCTGTGGCAAACTGTCTCAATGCCAGTGGTTCTCAAACTGTGGGGCAGGCAAACAACCAGGTGAAAAATGTGATGGGAATTCAGGGCTGTGTAATTGTGTTTTGATTTTGGAAAGTTTCTCAGGGGGAGATACAAAGTACACATTTAACCTTACTGCACACGGAGAGACATGGAGCAGACTTCTGATCAGATTTTGTAATTGATACCTTAGATTTGTCTACGAGAACGCTGAAGGGTAGTTTTTATTCAGTTATTGTCTTGTCTATCAGATGGGGAAAAAAGTTAATGCCCATCACAGTTCTTCAAAATTACCCCACTACTGATTAAAATTTTTAAGGTGTGGGGCGGTCCTCATTTTCTGAGGAGTGCATGCCACCCAAAAAAAGATCTGAAATGTCCTCAGTTCCTTTTACGTTCCCATCAGATGAAGGTTTTGCAGTAAGCCCCACCAGTACATAACTTTCCTCCATCACCTCATCAGACGCTTCTCCTCAACTTCAACAAGCATTCTGATCCAGCTTTTTATGAGATTGACCAGGTTTTTCTTAGAAAGGATGTTTGGCTTCCAGGTGCCTCTTCATATAGCAATATGGTAGCATTTGCTAAAATTCATTGAAGCCACAAAATAGTAGCTTTCACTATAGTTTCTGCTGATAGTGTTATATCTCTTTATTTTAGGTGGTGAGTTATCTGCACTGGTAGTTAATTGTTAGCTTATGGATGGGTACCAAAGGATGGTAGTTTTGATTCTGCATTTGCATGCTTGCCTGTGTAAATTTATATCATTTGCACAACATGAATGCAGAAATACTTCCTTTATATACAATGCTGATATGTAAATGTCTGTCAAGTACTTATTTTAGGCTTTCAGCTGACTGAATGTCAAAGTTACCTGAGCTTTCAGTTTGCTTGCAGCAAATATTATGGGGATATTTCTTTATGAATTAATTCTCAATCAAGTGATTTACTGCCTATAAAACTTGCACATTCGCAGCTTTATATTAGCGACATTGTTTTGTAGTTTGATTGCAAGCATTTGGATTTCATTGAAAAAGGTATTTCATTGGTTATGGTAGAAGTTTTGCCAATACCAAAGTATTGACCGTTAGAAAGCAGCAGCTAATTTCATAGCATAATGATAATGCAGTTTAATTAAAGACAATGCGTGTGAAGAGGTGGTTTCGGTTAAGCAGGTTAACACCAGCAAGCTCCTCGCAGGTTGGCCTGCTTGAAGCTTTCCTGATCATTTCAGATAATACACCTTATGAAAATGAATTGCTCACAGCCGTTTTCAACAGGAGAGAGAGATGCCAGATGCTGGCAGCAGAGGTGCATAATATTGAAGGTTGAGATAGAAAGATGTAAAGTTTCATTGGTAACAAGGTCTGTCAAAGCTAGCATTAACTACTTTTATGTCATTATTTTACACCCACATATGGATAGCAACACTGATAATAGTATTGATAAGTGTCATTGAGTAAATCAATAAAATCTGAATGATAGCCACCCCAGTAAAACTCATAAGGCAATAATACCC